AAAGAAAAGGTGGGTAACAAGTCGCGAGCTGTCATTCACGTTGCGAGGAAGGTGGGGTTTTGGTTTGGTTTTTTTTTTTCCCCTTTTCCTTTTCAAAATCGCGTTCTCAAAAATAACTCCGGGCGTTTCAAAGGCTGCCGCTCCCAGCGCTCCGTGGCTGCGGCCGGCCATGCCTCCAAGTAACCCGGCAGCAAAGAAAATGATGAAACGCATTCGGTGGGTAAACGCCAAGGAATGAGGTATCGCTCCAGCCCCCCCGTGCTCGTAGCGCAGCCCCGGGGCTGAGTCGGGGGCCGGGAGAGCCGCCGCGGCGCTGGCGATTCTAAAATCACGCCTGCAGAAGCTGTACCTCTTATTTAGCTTTCTGAGCCCCGTTTTGAGAGAGCCGCTGCGTGTTTCGTGTGTTCCGGGGGACAAACAGGCACCCAAAACTGAGAAGAAAGGACACGTAAATGTTGCGGCGTCATCTGTTTCCAATAGCGCGTGTTTACATATTAATGTGCAATACAAATTTGTAAACATGAGCATTTGAAACTCTTGCAGGAACCGATACCGGCCTTTTCCCTTTCTGCAGCTTTATTGGAACAGCATGTCCCCCCCGGCCCCAGCCACACATGCACATCGTTTTAATACTGGATGCATTTCAAATGTTCCGGGTGCTTATTTGTTCTGGTCTATCTTGCGATCCAATCCTCGTTTGTTTTGCATAATTGTGATACAAATTATCATCTAATTACAGACCAAACCTCAGAAGATCAAATGTAAACCAAGGCACTTCGACCAGAACAGCTACATCTGACGCTCCCTCTACGCCTTTGGCTTCTCCGATAGATGTATTAAATTTGGGTGAAACTGGATAGTAAACTGCGCTTTGATTAAAAACATTATCGCTGGGGGTTTTTGTCTCCTTGCTTTTTAAATCCGCCTCCCGGCGCCCGAGCACCGAGCCCATCCCCTGTCCCGGTGTCGGGTGCGGACGCAGCGCCCTGGGCACGGCCGGTTTTATCCGCCGGGAGTTATAAACGGGATCAGATATTCCCCAGGACCTTCAAACTCCTCCTGGGAAAGCTCAAACGACCGATAGCTGAGATTGTTCGGCAAGTTTAATCTTTAAAAAAAAGGGTGATTGTTTTCTCCCTGTTTCCATGTAAAACCAGCACCGTAATACGGGGTGTAGGTTTGTATTCAAAGGCTGAGAACTTTTGCAGTCGTCACAGGTTTCCAAATACCGTTAGCGGGAGGAAGCACAAAGCGGCATTTGTATTCACAGGCGCGTGGTCCCGCTTGAAATACCGGCCTCGATCCCCCCAGTTTCACGTTTAATAAATAATGATTTATTATCCTGACTTACCCTCTGGTGCTCGGCCACCCACCTCCCACCAGCAGCCGTACCAAAAGCACCCCCAGAAGGCAGCGTGCACGCTACCCCGCTATTTGGGGCACAGGGTTTTTTCGGGTAGGGACAATCATCTATGTGCGAGCGCGAGCGATTCGGCCGAAGCACCATTGCGGGCACGGAAAAACTCCCGTGCCGGGATGGTCGGGGGGTCTTGGCCGGGTCTGAAGGTGACCACGGGGTCATCGGGACAGAGAGCTATGACCGGTTTTTTTTTTTGTTAAGAACTACTAATGTCTTTTCCATTCTTCAGGGTGGTTTTTGAAAGGATAAAATCAGGAGGTAAAGGCAAAGGAAATAGAAAATCGCCTCAAATAACCCAGGTCTGGCAGCGTCTCTCGTGCCGCGCTGACCTCACATAGAGAGCAAATCGGTATTTACGGGTCTGCCCCACCCACAGCGACGAGCCCTGCATCCTCCCAGAGCTCGGTGCCAGCACCCATGGGAGACGGGCGCCGGCGTCGCGCATCCGTGCGGCCGTGATCGGGGAGGGGGGCGAAACCGGGCTCCTACAGGACCAGGACCAACCCAATTCCCCCGGTATTAGCTGAGCCACCGCTGTTGGGGCGCATCACCCCGACGCCGGGTCCATGGTCTCATGCCGAAAGGCACAGAACGAGCAAGGAAGCCCCATGCCCCTTTGGGTGGGAGGGAGGTGGGTCCCGTCAGAGAGAGCACTTGCTCAGCGGTAGTAGATGGAATTTATCTGATCCCGATTTAAATATCTATCGCTGTGCAATTATCCGTACTGAAAATACCTGTTCTGCTCATTATCGGTCACGTTTTTAAGCGGACAGACAGCGATCCGTTGGACCACCGGCTCGCCGCCAGCAACCCTGG